TTCGTGTTGCCGTTGTCGGCTGACGCCACTAAAGATGCCTTATATCAGGAAGAGGTCAGATCTCAAAGGAGATGACCGCTTCAGTCTAATTTTAATTCAAAGGGATTTAGATGCAACTTTATGTGAATAAAAGTGAATACTATTTTAGTTTGTCCTCCTTCTGTGACGCTGTATAACACTAACATGAAGTTGTAGGATTTTTTTTTTTCACCAACTTTTTTTTTTTCTGTGTAGTACTCGTTAGAGGCTCTCCTCTTTTCTTTCATTTCTTTTGTACCTTGTTGCTTTATCTTCAATGCAGCTTTTCCTTGACTCCTTTTGGCCATGAAAGAGGAGCAAAGATGGGCACCAACTAAGATGAACCGTCCTGTTCCTTAGCATTAAAAAGATTAAGGGGGAATTCCTTTTTATTTTTATTGTATTCATTTTTTTGGAAAAACCAATAAAATGTTCATACAAATACACATATTTTTCTTTAATGCTTAAAAGGTGGTAATGGGGTGAAAACGACACAAAATTATTTTTTGAAAACTGGCAAGGGAAAAGAAAAACTCACCCTCTTTTAATTTGTGTTTTCCATATCTGACCATAATGAAGATGATCTGATAATTACAAAAAAATGTTGTTTAAATCTAACCTCAAGTGAACAAAAGCACACAACGGATTCCACCATGGATTGGTTTATTAAACTAAAATTAATTCAAAATGCAAAGGCCTCGTGTGAAAACAAAGTCCCCTCTGGCTGTTTCTGTTGGATTCAAGAGTGAAAGGAGCAGGATCAGCCGATAACCATCGATGTGGACAATTTGTTTTTTTTAAAGTGTTCAAAAACGGCTACTGTATTTTTCGGCCTATAAGTTTCAGTTTTTGCATAATTTGCATGCCCTGCGACTTATAGGCTTAAGCGACATATTTATGGATTTATCCCCATATCTATAAATCAATTTTTGGCTGAGACTTGACCGTTTTTATTAATTCTGACTGAAAACAAAATTGAGCAGTACCACTTCCAGCCACTTGATGGCAGCAGAGTAGTAGTAGTAGTAGTATGGCATGCTGTTGTATCATGTAATAGATAAACGTGGCTATAATGACTAATTCAAAAATTATTCAAGACGAAAACAACTGGACTTTATGTATTATACTTTACACTATTATTTTTGTTGAAAACTTTTTTAATTTCCCGTGTCCTGGATGACTGAGAATCTTCACCAGCTATTAATGATTCAATCGGCCTGCCATATTTGGTGCAGTACTGTACAGTACATATACGTACGTTGTTAAAATTACGTAGGTTTAAGAGTTTAGAACATTGCAAGAGTGTGGGAAGGGTTTAAAAAGTCTTAAAATAAATATATATACTGTAAATACTAAAATAAATACTATTCCTATTTCATGGTTTTTCCACTTATTGCGGGGGTGTCTAGAACGTAACCCCCGCAATAAACGAGGGACTACTGTAGTGCAGCTGTTGAAGGTCCCGGAAAAACGGCTCAAATCTGCACCTGAAATGAAAGGACTTGGGTTTTATCAGTTCCTCCTGCTTTGAGGCACAACACAGGACACGCTCAACGCCTCAAACCTGTGGGCGAGCGTTGGAACAAGTTTGTCTAACAGAATTTATTCCACACGTTTATTTCATGAACTTTCAGCCGAGGACAGAAATCATCAGCTTTTATTATTTTGGCCGTCTTTTTTTTTTTTTTTTGGTGACATCAACCTGGACACCAATGAACTCTCAACGCCGCAGCTGGATTTCAACAAAACATTTTTATTTTCACAGGTACCGTTTATAAAATCAGTCTGAGCTGATGCCAACCTAAAACGTGGTGCACGACATTGGCTATGTGCATGTGTCAGTGTAGGTGTTGTGTTTTCTTTGTGTGCGTTTGAGTGACGTTTGTTGGTAAGGCAACATGCAGTCATCGGTTTCAATTAAAGTAAAAATTCAGCTGGCTGAACCTGTTCTACAGTAACACACACACACTACACTGATGCTGGGCAGATTATCTGCAGTGGAAGGTGGCGTGACACTCGGTAATGGCAAAAGAGGAACTCTGATTGGCAGAGGCAGCAGAGGGATGAGAACAGTAGGAATAAGACATAACGTAGACACATATCAGCTAAAGTGTGATGAAACCCAAACCTTCATTCTTCCTCAAACTCCTCCTATAGAGCACGTGTCAAAGTCGAGGCCCGCGGACCAAATCTGGCCCCTGTTAACATCTTATTTGGCCCCCGAGATGATATTTTAAATGTAAAGTGGGTTTTTTTTATCGCTTAACTGCTTAAAAACACAACATACTTGAATTAATGGAGACTTCTTCAGACTGTTTAACTTTGAAGACAGAAAAAAGGTTGGAATCTGATTTTGACATGGAAGGAGCGACCATCAAATGAGACCGATCAAACTCTTGTCGATGAACCTGCGACATAGAAAACGTTGAATATCAGCCTCGAGCTAATGCATTGACTGAAATTGGCCCATGGCTTGGATCAAGTTTTTTTTTTATTTTAGGTCCTCTTCTGTAACTTTTACCAGCCCTGATAGAGAAATAAATGCCTTATCTGAATTAAAGAAATCTAAATATTTAAACGTCTTAATCCCAACCAAACCCTGGAAGCATAGTATTCATTTTTTAATTTGCCTTTTTAATGCTAAAGTAGGGGAAGCGCTGCCTTCAGGGGTGGCCAAAGTTAAGTTTGAGGACCATAACGGGCCTTCAGAGTGGGATAATTAGGGATTGAAAAGTTGATGCTGATAGACATATTTTTTGCTAATTATAAGGGAGGTTATTATTGTTATTGTTTTTGGGTTAAACAGAAAACTGGATTAAATTTAACCTCATATGGTACAAATTTAAGTTTTTCTTTTCTAATTACTTTTTATTCCAATTCCATGGTTTAAAAAAAAATACACCACTAACCTTTATTAGCTTTTACCAAGAAGTAGACTTTTGATGCCCTTCTATAAAACTTGTCGTGCTTTTGCGGAATAAAACTGGTGTTGCTTTAATCATTGCAATCCACACAACACACAAAAAAGAGAACAATAGAGCCAAAAAAAAAAAAAGGCTTCTTTTTTTAGTGTTTGAGATGTTTTTTTTATGTTTTGGATCTAGAATGGAACTTTGTTCCCACTAAAATTGGTATACATTTGTCCTTTCACCATAAATATTGTGTTTCTGTTGTTGCTGAGTTCAAAAATGGAAATAATTCACCAAAAATGAGGTATATGTTTCAACAAATATCAGATATTCAAGTTATTTTACTTGGAACTTGAAGATTTGGGCCCATTTGTCAACATGTTTCGACACTACAGCTGTAGAAGAACAGCAAAAAGTAGTTCATAGAAGATAATTTTCACTTCAACAAACTAAAGTCAGCTGCTGCGTCTTCACGTTATCTCTTTCTAATTGGTTAAATCTATACAGGATGGCAGATTGATGATTTGAATTTTTTTAAGTGGTCAATTAATTAATCCATCTTTAACTAACCCTCCCCCAAATGTTCTTAAACCTCAGCTTGGCAGTGGAAATAATAAAACCATATGTCAGATAATGCTAATACTTCTTGTCTTTCTTCAAAGCCAGTTGGATTCAGGGCGAGGAGATCAGAGTTCAGGTTTACTGATTGTTAATCGCGTACTGATTTTTCTGCGTCGACTTTTCCAGACTCGGTGTCGCGGCCAAGATTTGAAAGCGCTCTCGAAATCTCATGCATCACACAAGTTGCCAGATAAATTTACAGTTTTGTTGCTTCCACTGTATAAAGTGCTGAGGCAAAACACACACACTGCGCACCTGCACACACAGACACACAAAGCCAGACTTAGCTACACAGAACAACTGATCTAAAGGCAACAACACGTCTGCTCATGCATTCTACTGTCACTAAAGCACGAGTAACAGAGTGATTTCTGTCTTTCATGCACAAATCCCTGCCTTTGACCCTGGAGAATGAAATATACATCAGCAGCTACACGTGCACACAAGCTAACATGGACACACAGGCTGCAACTCACACACCCACTCGTGCACACTCCCTCAGTTTCACTTTGTGTTTCTTGATTTGAACAGGATTTTCTGCATTTAGACCCATGTACTCTACAGTCACTCGTGTGTTTCATGTGTGATCGGCTGGTTTGTGTTTTATACACGCCCAGAAAAGGTTTGTCTGCTTTTGGTCGTGTGAACGTGTGTGTTTGTGTTTGAGATTCGTTCCATGGTTTTGGCAGAAGCGGGGTGGCAACAACATCAGGGTTACACTGAGACACAGTTAGAGGGAAAGCTACAGGCTGCAGAAACTTTGATGGTGGGGTCAAAGAGGTGAGAGTGGCGGTGTAACGGGGGTGGGGGCTGAGGTGCAGCATCTGGAAGAGTCTGTTCTGATTTTGGTTCCATAAAGTCACAAAAAAATATGTTGGACATCTGGAGTCGGGTACAGCGAGGTGAGGGAGGCAAAGGGTCCACAGATGACGACTAATAACCCTGGAGGGAAGAGAAATAAGAGAAGAAAAAAAAAACACTCATGAGCGGTGGAAGAAGTGTTTAGATACCTGAAGGCAAGAGTTTAAAATAAAATAGTCATCTTGTAGAATTGGGATTACATGAAAAGCTATAAAATGGTTTTAAAATCATATTTGTCTGATAGATTCCAGTTTGTAAATGTAAATTATCTTCATACACCAAAGTTAGTCATGGAGTTCCTCAGGGTTCGGTGCTTGGTCCAATATTTTATTTATGCTTCCGTAAGGTAAATTTACTAACAGCACTGGATAAATTTTCATTGTTATGCTGATGATACACAATTATATTTGTCCATGAAACTCATTGAATCCAATCGACTACAAGCATGTCTTAAAGACATAAAAACATGGGTGACCCTTAATTTTCTGCTTTTAAACTCAGACAAGACAGAGGTTTTGGTTTTAGGACCTGAGCATCAAATAAATTTTGCAATCTTTCGCCAACTTCAGAATTTTGAAAGAAAAAAAATTCAGAATACTGACTTAATCTCAGAATTCCTAAATATAGTCATAATTCTGACTTTATGTAAGGAATTCTGTATTTATTCTCACAATGCTGAGTTTTTTTTGAAAGATTTTCTTTTGACATTCAAGTCAATAATGTGACATTTTCTCCTCAGATTTCTGGGACTAAAGTCAGAACTCTGAGAAATAAATTTGAATTCTGATGTTAATCTCAAAATTCCCAAGCAGAATTCTGACTTAATCTCAGAATTTTGAGATTCCCTAGATTAACATACAAAATTCTGACTTCTTTTCACATTTCTGCATTTATTCTCAGAAACGCTGATTTTTTCATAGAATTTTGAGATTAAAGTCAGTAATTTGACTTAATTCTCAGAATTCTGACTTTTTTCCTGAGAATCTTGAGAAAAATAGTCAGAAATTCTGAAAAAAAAAAAATCACCATGTCTCTAATCCTTTTCTAAATTAAAGACATGTTCACACACGGTTGTACCAATATTTCAGGCTCTTGGACAATCTGCTCAGAGTATGTTTGGGAATGAATTTCATATTTTACCAAACCAAAGTTTAGTTTAATACCCTTAAAATTGTTCTATCAAATTTTTATCCAAGGTTGATTAGCTTAGGCGGTCACTTTAATTTAAACTGGCAGTTTTAATAAGAGAAACACATTACAGCATTTCTACTTGAACCTTGAATTCATGCATCAATTTTAACTGGCATATTGGTTTTTGATGAAAAAAAAGGTCATTTTTAATTTGCAAATGATCAGTCAGAAATCAGAGTACAGAAGCGTATTAAATTCCTAAAGATCAATATAAAATCAGATTATTCCACTCATCATTTGAAATTGGATTTCTTACCTCTCCTCCTTCTCCTCCTTGCTCCATTCCACCGTACTCTCCCTGTGGGAGGAGCAGAGAAGATTGAGAATAACAGAAAATACACCAAAAACAATGTGGAGGATTTTTCTGCATGAATGAAAGAATGGGATGGTGGCAGGGTAGAGGGCCTCAAGCATCAGTCATCGTCTATAACCTTTGGTTTTGTCCAAGTTTGATATGATAAACCAGTTTAACTTTAACAAACATGCTGGAAATCAAAGCTTAGTGCGAATTTATACACATCCGGTTAGTTGGTCAGAGTTTTTAATCCCCAGATTGCATAAACAAAATCATGTGCACAAATCCGATTTAGTTCAAGCGATGTAAAAAATAAAAAGATCAAATTTAAACAAAGTTGTATTTAAACGTTTAACTGCCTGAGCTACTGAGCTGGAGAGCGACTTGATTGGAAACGAAAATTTTTGCATAATTTTTGTTCCAACCACACAAAAAAGTGAGCACCAGGGAAGAAAATGTTATCAAAATAAGAACTTTCATGAATTAAAGGTCAACATTTCTTTAGGAAATGTGTATCGCCTGTTATGCCAGAGTTTCAGACTAGAGATGCACGATATTGGATTTTTTTTGGCTGATATCCGATATGACTATAAGTTAAAACTTATTTGGTTGATGACTAATAACCAATACCAATACTTTTTATTTTCCTAGACCTACTTACAGAGACTACATAGTTTTCTCTGCTGTGGAATTAAAATACTACATTATGGTCTTTGTCAATATCGCCTGCTACCAAATGCAGATGCCAAAAAGGGGCTGAAAATTATGGTTCTTGATGGTTAATTAGGGTTTTGAAGTGTTGTAGGACTTCGCTTTCATTCCCCTTCGCATCACTGAGGCTGAGCAGTCATTGCAAATAACAGTTCTGCTCTCAGTTTCTGACACTTTAAAAAACTTACAGACCGCCGACATTTTCACTTCTTCCTCTTCTGCCATGATCAGATCATGTACGAGTGGGTGAAGTCATAACGTTGTGTATGTATGTGTGTATATATATAT